CAAGTTTATTATTATATATTATTAAAGTTAATTACATAAATTAAAAATGAATAAAATTGATTTAGAGTAAAATAATTTAAACAAAATTAAAATTTAAGAAATATTAAATTATTGTTGTTTTAATAAAAACAATGTTTGTTTATTAGTGGAGAACGATTTTATATAGAATATTACATAAAATATTTTATATGAAATATTACATTAAATTTCATAGAAATTATTATATTCAGAAAATATTATATATATATATATATATATATATATATATATATATATATATATATATATATATATATATATATATATATATATATATATATATATATATATATATATAATATTTTCTGAATATAATAATTTCTATGAAATTTAATGTAATATTTCATATAAAATATTTTATGTAATATTCTATATAAAATCGTTCTCCACTAATAAACAAACATTGTTTTTATTAAAACAACAATAATTTAATATTTCTTAAATTTTAATTTTGTTTAAATTATTTTACTCTAAATCAATTTTATTCATTTTTAATTTATGTAATTAACTTTAATAATATATAATAATAAACTTGGGTTACACCTTTTTCTACGCGCGATTATACTTCGCAATCAGATTTACAACGGATGTTGATCCTGTATGGCGTAGGTTCCGTAAGGATTGTGCCAATAATGACCATTTTTTTTGGGACCCAAATAAATATTATATAACTAATGCGATGTGCCAGGTTTGGACTATATCGGCTACTTCCTTCTCTTTGTATAAGATATGTGATATTTTTAGAAAATGTTAAAATGTGCGTGATGTATCAGATATAGTCGATCGGAGTATTTAATTTCCATACTTCCTCTAATACAGATTAAAATATTGGCATGGGCAAAATTACAGAAAAACATTTTTATCCAATTCTATGAAAAATCATAAATTCCTTACTCATCTCAGGTTTCTGGTTGAGAGAAATATTTAGATATAGCAAGTTTTAAGGAATCGCTGACTCTTTTCGCAAGTTATGACAGATAAAAGTATTGAAAATTGGGACTCTTTGTAGGTGAGGTACAACTGCTAAAACGAACTGTGTCTCAACGCAAAACACCCCATTACTTAGAGAAACGCACACACCAGACATTCGATATCCCGCCGAATAATAGCTGTGAACCGCTTTATTTGCCTGATATTAGCCCATTGTTGGTAGGCAATAACCGCCTGGTACTAGGGGATTTTAGTGCCCACCATGACTTGTGGTATTCCGTCCTAGGTAATGACCAGAGGGGATCATCGCTGGTAGAGCAGATTGACTGCTCCACATTCTGCACGGTTAACGAATATGCCCCCACCCGAATAAAGGGAGAGTCTCACAGTTCGCCAGATTTAGCCATAGTGTCACCCGGTCTGATAAATCATGTAACTTGGCAACCCATCATTTCTCTTGGCTCAGACCATCTCCAGATAATCGGTCGCCCGATTTCATAATCTCTGAACGCTGGAATTTCCTTATCCATGGGAAAGTTCACTAGCCAGAGTTCAGAGAATTCACCAACCGCCGCTTCAGAGAACAGCCCAACCCTTCTAATGTTCGGGTAGCAGAAAGGATTTTCCGAAACATCACCAAAGCTGCAACCGCTCGCTATATACCTGCTGGTCGAATACCCGAGATAAGACCAAACTTCCCAACAGGATAGCGGGACTAGCAAACGAGCGTGATGATCTCCGTCGTACCAACCCTACTGATCCTAGAATCAGTGATTTGACAGTGGAAGTTAACCGGTTGGTACAGGAGCATAAGTGGAAAAAGTGACTAGACCATCTGAAGTGTTGCAACATTGAAACCGATATGAGTAAGCTGTGGATAACGGTTCAGTCGCTCTCGAACCCTGGAAAAAAGGATGATAGGTCCTCAGTCACTTTTAACGACCTAACGTTGACTGATCCGAAGAGGTGCGCAGAGTATTTTAACCGACAATTTGTCGAGCACCCCCAGAGCGACAGGGCGAAGCGAAGAGTACTGCGTCGTATCAGATCTCTTCCCGCCGAGGAGGAACCATCACAATTTACGATGGGTGATGTTGCAAATGTCATCCGTAACGCTAAGTCATCCAAAGCGTTGGGCCCAGACGAAATCTCATAGTTAATGTTGAAACCGCTGGATACGCCGGGAGTCGAGTACTTAACGAAAGTTCTCAATTTGTCGCTAGCCACCCACACAGTGCCCGAAACCTGCAAAATGGCCCCGCTACTGAAGCCAGCCAGGATGCCAATAAAGACGAATCGTACAGGCCGAATTCGCTTTTATCGTCAGTAGCCAAGACTCAGCTATACAGTTGCCAACCACCAGCACGGATTCCGCCCACAACATAGTACCACAAAGAGGACTGAACTAGAACAGTGTTGGTAGCCCTTGACCTATCAAAGGCATTTCATACGGTCAATCATGCCATACTGTTTGAGGACGTGCAGAGAACTACCCTGCGGACAAGTTTGAAACGTTGGATAAACAACTATATGTGTGGACGCCAGTCGGAACAAGAAGTCCAAAGCCCGTAGAATGAAACAGGGAGTTCCTCAAGGTGGGGTGATATCTCCGGAAGTGTTTAACCTCTATCTTTCTGGAATTCCTCGCCCTCCAGACGGCATAGAGATCGTAACGTATGCGGATGATTGTACGATCATGGCGTCGGGCCCAGTGGTCGATGACATATATGTGAAAGGCCGAACCCCTATCTCGCGGAGCTTGCCGCATACTTCCACGCGAGGGATATGAAAATATCCGAGGTCCAACGCTACAATAGAGAACCTCTAGATCAAGAAGTCTATCAGGCAGGTCTGAGCGGCATTCATACCAACACAGTCGCAGATGTTATTCGCAATTATAAAATGAATGCCGTCCTCGAAGTCCACCCCCATCCATTGCAGCTGAAGGACGTCAGCTGCCTAGACAAACCAGGGTAGTTTTGGCGCAATTAAGTTCAGGATGGTGTAGTCGTCTCAATTCGTATTGGGCACGAATTGATGAAGATGTGCGTGACGCCTGCCCGGCGTGCGCAATACGCTGCACCTCTTTAATTGCACTGCCAAACCTACCCAACTCACTCCAGAAGATCTCTGACTACAGCTCATTAAAGTAGCAGAATTTCTAAACCTGGAGGTGGAACCAGATTAGCAGAACGCAAACACTTGCATATACTACTACTACCAGGCATTCGATTTGCAGCAGAAATATGACCTGTCTCACCGGACTGAATGTAAATCTGGCTGGACCATCCCATGGGAGGCTAAACCACTAGACGGAAATTCCACATTTGTTAGAGACTAAATACCTGCCCCACAATCAACATATCTCATAGTCCACCAAGTGGATGTACTTTCCTGATTTCGTTTTGGATGTCAAGACTATATCCTAGCTAATAACTACTAATTTCATGTGACATTGCCTTGTTTAAGTAATGTGTTGATGAAAACTTCAATTTCACCAACCCACTACAAACATCACCAACCATTAATGGCAACAACACCATCTTCTTCATCATCAAGCATCATTATCATCAAAAAAAACACATAAAACTACACAAAATCATCCAAATAAACATACCACATCATCGTATTTATATTAATAATTGTTATTTTCTTAAAATATTATTAGTTTTGTATTTAATGATATTTTTTATTATTCTTTTCCTATAAATTTTCTTTATATATATTTTTTCTATAATTTTCTTTTTATTTAATTTTATTTTATTTCAATTTATTTGCACTACTTTCATATAATTAGTTATTTACATATTTTTTATATTTAATTATAAAAACATCAATGTACGTATGCTAATTATCACGAGTGTAGCCAAAAAATGCCTTTTGTTTGGTGACCACTCATTTGCCTATTCCCTTTTCTTCTATTTAACAACAACAACACATCGATCACGGATCAGTTGTGTTGTTATGATGGTCGCTTTGATGCTTGCTTGTGCGTCGCGACCCCCTCGCCTACATGCTTTGTTATTCTTATTGCTTAATAACAATGGGAATGCAGAATAGAAGTAGGCAAATGAGTTGGTACACAACCAACTGCACATGCATGCATACATATTTATGTGTGACCGATGTATGCCTAAGCCTTTCTTGTTACAAATAAATATGTTATAGAAATGAGAATTAGCATGATTGGCTTAGGTAGTCATTGACACCATGCAAATATGCAAAAGGAGATAAATGCATATAATTGCAAACAGCTGTTGCATATTATATACATTTTTCGTTTGGTGATTTTTTGGCTACCAAACAATGTAGTTTAAGTTGACTCGCTCTCTTTTAATTGGACAGCCGAGCGATCAACAACGATAAGTACTTTTGCTAAAAACCTAAATTTGTAACCTTTACAAAAAAATACTTTTTCTAAAAATAAAATAAATCAATTCTGTGCAACCCTTGTTTAGTTGAAAGAAAATTACTTTGTTTTCTTTTTTACTTTGCATAATTAAACAAGGGAAAATAACTCAACATTTTATTGGTGCCGAAACCCGGGAATTTCATCGGTGTTAGAAGTTCAGTGCTTTTTTTAAATAATATAGTGTGCCAGTGAAGTTTCCAATAATTGAAAAATTAAAACAAAAAAATATTTGAAAAATAAAAAAAAAAATTAAATTAAATAAATTAGACAGTTGTTGTGTTTTATTAAAAGTGAAAACTCTGTTAACAAAAACTGATTATTCCGAAAAAAAATTGAGCTAACAAAAAGTACAAAAATTATTAAAAATTGCCTGCGAAAATTAAAAAAAAGTAATAAATTGTTCTTTTTAACAGAACTTGTGAAATTTAACTTTTTTCTTGATTCTTAATAAAGAAAATTAATTTTTTCTTTTTGTACTTTTTGGGAGCTATTAAAACACAACAACAAATCGCCATTTTCTCGAACAACAAACTGCATTTCGAAACTTCAAATTTAACTAAAATTTTCTTGCGTTTTTATTAAAATTTTATTAAATTTAAATTTTTATTAAATTCTTTCGTGGACTAAAAGAAAAATATTTCAATTATTGGAAATTTTCAGTACAATTTGTGCAGTGTAATCTAACCTAAAAAGTTTTACGGTGTCAAAAGTGTTTGCGAGTGTATTCAAAACATAACCATGAGTGACCTATCCAATTTAATAAAAGAACAGAGGGATTTATTCGATTTATTATCGAAATATCAAGCCCGTTTCGAGGCAAAAGATCCCTCTGAAAAGACTCATGGTTATGGAAATGCATTAACTCAAAGAGTTGATGACATTTTTAATCGATTTGAATCGCAACACGAAACGATTATGCAACTTGTGCGAGACTCTTCCTTGAATGCCAGTGATGTGCCATACTTGAATGATGATGTGTATTTTGATTTTTCCGAAAAATATCTAATCTTCAAAGGAAAAATCATAGACTCATTATCTGATTATTCTATTTCGCAGTCACCAATGGCAAGCACATTTGTTGCAAATCATAATCGTACTGACACCTTAGCTTCTGATTCTAAACTTCCTAAAATTTCACTGCCAAAATTCTCTGGTGATTATATGGAATGGATTCCATTCCGTGATATATATTTCTCTCTCGTTCATTTAAATAATTCTTTGAATAAAATTCAAAAATTTTACTACCTTCGCAGTACATTGGCTGGTGAAGCAGCTAATTTAATCAAAAATATTTCTGCCACTGAGGCAAATTATGACTCTGCATGGAAGATTTTAGAATCAAGATACCATAACAAGCGAATGCTTGTGGGTAACTTAATTTCTAAACTTTTCAATATTCCAAAATCTGATGGTGGGTTTCAATCTGTCAAAACTTTACTAGATTCTGCTCGAGAGTGTATTGCATCCTTACAAAACTTGGATGTTAATACAGACACTTGGGATCCACTTTTAATACACCTTCTAGTTCAAAAACTAGATATTCAATCTCGTCGAGATTGGGAACAATCTCTAAAATCTTCTACAGAATTACCTCAACTTTCTGAATTATTTTCATTCTTAGAAAGAACTTTTAGGACTCTTGAGTCCTTAACTGATGAATTCCCATCAACTTCAAAATCTTTTCCTAAACAAAACTTCACTAAAATTAGCAAAAATTACAATAATTCTTCTCCTAAAATCAAGAAAACTTTCACTCATACTGGAAAGTTTTCAAAATCAAACTCAGCTGTTTGTGCATTTTGTGAGAAGAATCATTCTCTCTCAAAGTGTTTTAAATTTCTCGCCTTAACATTGATCGCAAAAAATAAATTTCTTGCAGATAAAAATATCTGTCGCAATTGTTTTGTATCCGGTCACGATGCAAACAATTGCAAATCTTTCTTTCGATGCATAACATGCAAACAACCTCATCATACAGTGCTTCATTCAGATGAACCTGTCACTCAAACTAAAAATCTAAATCTGTCCAATCAAGTCACTTCTCATAGTGCACAATCTTTTAATTCTGTTCTACTTTACACAATTAGACTTTGCATTATCACAAAACGTGGTAAATTCACTATACGTGCTCTACTAGACCCTGGATCTCAGGGAAGTCTAATTTCAGAATCAACAGTTCAACTTTTAGGTCTTGAAAAAACCAGATCACATTGTAAAGTGATTGGTATAGGAAATGGTGGTGAAAATTTATCTAAATTTTCGGTGAATCTTGACTTGTTCACACGAAAACAAGAGTTAGTACTTTCATGTACAGCTCTTGTGCTTTCTTCTCTCTCTTCTTATACACCAAATCCTTCATCTAAACATATTTCTTTGCCTAATATTGAATTTGAAAACTTAGCTGACCCTTATTACTACAAATCTGACCCAATAGACTTAATTCTAGGATCAGATATCTGTTCTAAAATCAAAATTCCTACAGAGTCATTCATTCATAATGATCTTTTCTTCCAAAATACAACTTTTGGATGGGTATTTTCTGGACCCACTGAATCTATCTCCACAAATAGAATCCATATTCACAATGTGAACTTGGAAAATATTCTAAAATCCTTTTGGGAACAAGAGGAAGTTATTTCTAAAAGAAAACTTACCAGTGAAGAACTGGAATGTGAGAAATACTTCCAAACTACTACAAATCGAACCGAAAATGGTCGATATATGGTAAATTTACCATTTAAATCTTTACTAAAATCAAATTCTTATCCTATACTTAACAATAATGTCACTAATGCTGTTAGGCGTCTTAAACAAATTGAAATTTCTTTTACTAAAAGACCCAGTTTTAGTGACACATACAAAGCTTTTATGCAAGAGTATGAATCCTTAGGACACATGACTAAAATAGGGACTTATCCTACTGACGTTCGTCCAAATTCTTATTTTCTGCCTCATCATGGCGTTTTTAAAGAAAGTAGTTCTACTACAAAACTGAGAGTTGTTTTTGATGGCAGTAGCCATCTAGCTGATTATAAATCTCTCAACGAAGAACTTTCTCCTGGACCCCCTCTGCAAAATGATCTTCCTGGTATTATGACCAAATGGCGAAGACACAAAATAGCCTTCAGTGCAGACATTGAAAAAATGTTTCGCCAAATACAAGTCTGTCCAAACCACAGAAAATACCAACAAATTCTATGGCGCAACAGCCAATTTGAAGACATTTCAATTTATGAACTGAATACTGTAACTTATGGTACAACTTCAGCCCCTTATCTTGCAATTCGTATCCTGCAACAAATAGCAGACGATTACAAACAAATATTCCCAAAAGCTGGTCAAGTTTTAGTTCAAGACTCCTACGTTGACGACATAATTTCTGGTGCAGACACTTTAGAATCTGCAAATCAATTGTTCAAAAATCTATGTGCTCTTTTAGAAAAAGCTAGTTGTAATCTCCGTAAATGGAGAACTAATTCAAAAGAACTTCTTTCCCAAATACCAGAAGAGCATAGAGAAACTTCTGTTACACAAAGTTTTGACCATGACAATATAGTAAAAACTCTTGGCATTCAGTGGAATACAGAAACTGACTCCTTTTCTTTCAAAGTTAATCTCGAAGAAAAACCTTATTTTTCAAAACGAGAAATTCTGTCTGAATCTGCCAGACTTTATGACCCATTAGGTTGGCTAACACCAACAACAGTTGTAGCCAAATCAATATTTAAACAGCTTTGGGAACATGGCGTCGATTGGGATGAAAAAATACCCAAACAATTAGAGTCTCAATGGCTAAACCATAGATCTTCTTTGCCAATATTTTCTAAATTATCCATTCCAAGATGGATTGAATGGTTACCAAATTGTGAGACTCAACTTCATTGTTTTTGTGACGCATCAACTACTGCCTACGCTGCTGTCGTTTATGCACGCGTTATAACCCCTAATGGCATATTTGTCAACATTCTACAAGCCAAATCTAAAGTGTCACCCATAAAAACAGTCTCTATACCAAGACTAGAACTGTGCGCTGCGACTCTTGGCGTAAAATTGACTCAAACAGTCAAAGATTCACTTAGTGATCTAAATATCCAAAATATATATTATTGGAGTGATAGTTCCACTGTCCTTAGCTGGATTCGTAAATCCCCATCTAATTGGACAGTTTATGTCGCCAATAGAGTCGCTGATGTTCAGCGCTTAAGTAATCCTATACAATGGAAATATGTTCCAACTTCACTAAATCCGGCTGACTGCGCATCTAGGGGAATTCTGGCTGAAGAATTGATTGAAAAACAATCATGGTGGTTTGGACCTCAATTTCTTTATGAAACTGAAAAATCTTGGCCAGAAATTCTTCCAAATTTACATACCTCTGAAGAGGAACGAAAATCTAAAATATCAACAAATTTGTCCACTGAGAAAATATACATTGAACTATTTTCTAAATACTCAAAATTACAAACTTTAGTAAGAATCGTTTCATATTGTCTGAGATTTCTTGAAAATTGCAGAAATCCAAAATGTAAAAAACTAAAACCCTTGACTCTTACAGAATATAACAAATCTTTATCTGTTCTTGCTAAAATTTCCCAAAAGGTTGATTTTCCTGAGGAAATTTCTAAACTTACCACGAAAAGAGACATTAAAACAAGTCCCATTCTAAAACTAATGCCATTTCTAGACGAAAATGGGATTCTTCGTGTAGGTGGACGCCTTCAAAATTCTAACTTTCCTTATGACGTCAAACATCCAATTATTTTGTCAAAACATAATCCTTTGTCTAAACTTATAATCTCAGACGCGCATGAAAAAACTTTACATGGCGGTGTTACATTAACAATGTCATTTGTAAACCGCAAATTTTGGATTGTATCTGGAAATCAACTTGCAAAACGCATAATTCATACATGTATAAAATGCTTCCGATACAATTCCAAAACTGCTCAGCAAATAATGGGCAATTTACCAAAAGTGCGTTTAACGATTTCTAGACCTTTTAAACACAGTGGCGTCGACTATGCAGGACCCATTTCTATCAAAAATTCTAATCTCAGATCTTCTTCTATAACTAAAGGCTACATATGCGTATTTGTATGCATGGTTACAAAAGCCATTCACTTAGAGGCAGTTTCTAATCTAACAACAAATGCTTTTCTTGCTGCCTTTAAGCGTTTCACTTCTAGAAGAGGCATTTGTACTGATTTATATTCTGATTGTGGCACAAATTTTGTTGGTGCATCAAAAGAATTAAAAGTTTTGCATAACAAAAATAAAAATTCTATTCCTGAAGATCTTATTCACTCTTTAAGCCAAAATTCAACTACTTGGCACTTTATCCCACCAGCTTCGCCCAACTTTGGTGGCCTTTGGGAAGCAGGTGTAAAATCTGTTAAATATCATTTGAAAAGAATCACAAATGATAGAAATCTTACCTTCGAAGAATTAACTACACTATTATGCCAAATTGAAAGTTGCTTGAATTCTAGGCCACTTTGTCCTCTCTCTAATGACCCTTCAGATTTTGATGCGCTTACTCCAGCGCATTTTCTTATAGGTGAACCTACCAATTGCTTACAAGAAGAAACGCTTTTGGATTCTAATATCAATAACCTAACCCGTTGGAAAACTATTGAAAAAATAAAGCAACATTTTTGGAAAAGATGGCAAAACGAATACCTAAATCGCCTTCAAGCTCGTCCAAAATGGCTTAAAACTTCAACGGATCCTAAAATTGGAGATTTGGTATTAGTCACTGATGAAAGATGTGGACCTGGACAATGGATACTTGGCCGTATTGAAAATACGCATCCAGGACCTGATGGACATACAAGGGTGGTATCTGTTCTAATGAAAAACAAACTTGTAAAACGACCAATTTCTAAAATCTGTTTACTTCCAGATAATTCACCTCATTCTGACCCTGATATGGACAATCCAAAAACTCTACTTTAAACTTTACATGGATATGGTTCTGTTGGATGTATGGTTGCTATTATTGTGGCTACACTAACACGCTGTGAGTCGGAGCATAGCGGAGGTTACTACCTCGACTAAAATTCTCCCATCGGTAGTTCATCATAGCAGAGTAACCCGCATTCAAGAACATTCGTCCTTCAGGGGGGAGAATGTTGATGAAAACTTCAATTTCACCAATCCACTACAAACATCACCAACCATTAATGGCAACAACACCATCTTCTTCATCATCAAGCATCATTATCATCAAAAAAAACACATAAAACTACACAAAATCATCCAAATAAACATACCACATCATCGTATTTATATTAATAAATGTTATTTTCTTAAAATATTATTAGTTTTGTATTTAATGATATTTTTTATTATTCTTTTCCTATAAATTTTCTTTATATATATTTTTTCTATAATTTTCTTTTTATTTAATTTTATTTTATTTCAATTTATTTGCACTACTTTCATATAATTAGTTATTTACATATTTTTTATATTTAATTATAAAAACATCAATGTACGTATGCTAATTATCACGAGTGTAGCCAAAAAATGCCTTTTGTTTGGTGACCACTCATTTGCCTATTCCCTTTTCTTCTATTTAACAACAACAACACATCGATCACGGATCAGTTGTGTTGTTATGATGGTCGCTTTGATGCTTGCTTGTGCGTCGCGACCCCCTCGCCTACATGCTTTGTTATTCTTATTGCTTAATAACAATGGGAATGCAGAATAGAAGTAGGCAAATGAGTTGGTACACAACCAACTGCACATGCATGCATACATATTTATGTGTGACCGATGTATGCCTAAGCCTTTCTTGTTACAAATAAATATGTTATAGAAATGAGAATTAGCATGATTGGCTTAGGTAGTCATTGACACCATGCAAATATGCAAAAGGAGATAAATGCATATAATTGCAAACAGCTGTTGCATATTATATACATTTTTCGTTTGGTGATTTTTTGGCTACCAAACAATGTAGTTTAAGTTGACTCGCTCTCTTTTAATTGGACAGCCGAGCGATCAACAACGATAAGTACTTTTGCTAAAAACCTAAATTTGTAACCTTTACAAAAAAATACTTTTTCTAAAAATAAAATAAATCAATTCTGTGCAACCCTTGTTTAGTTGAAAGAAAATTACTTTGTTTTCTTTTTTACTTTGCATAATTAAACAAGGGAAAATAACTCAACATAATGGGTTGGTAACCACATTTATAATGAGTATTTTTGCTGAACATGTAGCATTCTCATTACAACAACATTGTCGTTTGACATCAATCATAAAATCATAATCATCATATTCATAAAATGATTTGACAATTCATCAGAGGCCATTTGAAATGCTAACAGCGTTGGCCACAGTCCGTGCAATTTAGCTCTGTGAGATATCGAAATTGCTGCCGGCACAGCAGTAGTGCAACATTGTTGTGACAACTGCTCAGCATGTAGCGAGCAAATGCTTAATTATCATCGTATGCTTTACACATCAATGAGAATTTGTTTTCAATTTGGTGACAATTTATTGACATGTTTCCCGTGAGAATGGGTCGGCAATATGATCAACCGAGAAATAAAAACGTCAGAAAGACAAAACTCAAAAAATTAACAAATTTATTTATTTAGCGAGCGTATATATCATTTAATACGTGCCTCATCTAATTAACGTTTTAGACCCTAGGTCTCTCAGGACCATTTCCATTTAAGGACATTTGCCGTCGATCTAGCAATGTCCGTCCGTCTGTTTGGCTTGCTGGCTGGTTGGCTGCTGCACACGATAACTCTCGAAGGTAGTATCCGGTTTGGTTCAAACTCGGAACAAACTCAAAACTCAAACTCGCGTATATATCATTTGATACGTGCCTCATCTAAATAACGTTTTAGACCCTAGGTCTCTCTGGACCATTTCCATTTAAGGACATTTGCCGTCGATCTAGCGATGTCCGTCCGTCTGCTTGACTGGCTGATTGGCTGCGGCACACGATAACTCTCGAAGGGAGTATCCGATTTGGTTCAAACTCGGAACATCGTAATATTATTATCAAACTTAGATCAAGTTAGGAGATGGTCAATATCGGTCCACTCCTTCTGGTAACTCCCCCACAAAACGTCGAAATTTTCAAAAAAAAAATATATGTTACTGCACAGAAAGAGAAAGGATAATCCGATTGTGCTCCAGCTTTGCAAATCCTAGTATTTCCATCCGTGCTAGGTCAGGTGCAAAAATGGACAATGTCGGTCCAAACCATTAAGTACCTTCCCCGCAAAGGGACAAAATTTCGAATAATTATAACTCTTATAAAATGTGATGTACATCCCCTTATTTCTACTAACACAAGATCTGCGGTGAACAATGGAATATATCGGTCCATTCCTTCTGGTATCTCCCCTTACAAAGGGTGACCATTTTGAATATCGATGTAGCTCACAAAAGGCGGAATTAATATCTGATTTCATTCAAGCTTGGTGCATCTCAATATTTCAATCTATTATAAAGATGGTAGAGATCGAACCATTTCCATTTTAACACAAGATCTGATGTGGAACCCTTTCTGGTAACTCACCCTGTCATGACGTGAACTAGAAACCTGAGATGAATATGGAATTCATGATTCCGCATTAAATTGTATATATATTTTGGATTTTCTTTTAATTTTGTCCATACCAATAGCTTTATCTGTATTAGATGAAGTATGAAAATGGAATACTTCGGTCGTCTATATCTGGTACCTTACGCACATTTCCATTTTCTGAAAATTAACACATATCTCATATAAAGAGAAGGAAGTCACCAATATAGTCCAAACCTGACATATCGCAATATTTATATCATATTTCTTTAGGTCCGATACGAATTTAATAATATTGACCCATTCCTTCGGAACCTACTCCATAGAGGGCCAGACGTTTAAATAATCGAAAGAAAAATCATGATATTGATAAAAATTTAAATTTGTTTACAACAAGTAAAAAAGCTGTAAGTTCGGCCGGGCAGAACTTTGTATACCCTCCACCATTTGGTACAAATTTGGCAATTTAAAAAAAATAGCATCCGTTAAAATCTTAAAAATACCAAATGTAGCCGTATATTAAGGTCTATACGACCACGTGGACCTGTATAGGCAACTTAAGCTATTACCATATTCAAATGAGAAACTTGAAAAAATATCTGTTTATAATGTAGCTAAAATCATAAAAAATGGGGGTTATAAAACGTGGACCTGCACAGACAATTTTCTGGCATAGGCTGTAGTATTCATTACGAACTTCAAATACCAAATTTGAAATAGTTCCGGTAAATAATGTCGCTAAAATCATCAAATACCGAATATCGGGGGTACCGTTATATGGGGGCTATACGAAGACGTGGACCTGCACAGACAATCTGTCTTAGGCTGTATTATTGATTACGAACTTCAAATGCCAAATTTGAAATAGTTCCGGTAAATAATGTCCTTAAAATCATTAAAATATCCAATATCGGGAGGAACCGTTATATGGGGACAATACGAAGACGTGGATCTACATGGCTCATTTTCTGTTTTAGGCTGTAGTATCCATTACGAACTTCAAATACCAAATTTGAAACAATTCCGGGAAAATAATTTCGCTAAAATCATCAAAATACCGAATATCGGAGGGTATCGTTATATGGGAGCTATACGAAGACGTGGTCCTACATGGGCCATTTTCTGTCTTATGCTGTAGTATTTATTACGAACTTCAAATACCAAATTTGAAACAATTCCGGTAAATAATGTCGCTAAAATCATCAAAATACCGAATATCGGGGGTACCGTTATATGGGGGCTATACGAAGACGTGGACCTACATTGCCCATACCAAAAGTCCTGCAGACATGGCACACATTTGAGTTAATTTTTATCAACTTTCTTCATTTCGTTCGGAAGCTAGAGTGATTTCCACAGACAGATAGACGGACGGACATTGCTAAATCGACATAAAATTTTATGCTGATCAAGAATATATATACTTTGTGGACTCTAAAATGTATATTTCGAGGTGTTACAAACGGAATGACAAACTTAATATACCCTCCATACTATGGTGGAGGGTATAAACAGCAACAACAGAAGTCAAAATGTAATCAAACATTGGCTGAGCCCATAGATCTGTCGGCAAACCCAACTGAAATCAAAATTCTTAAAATAGATACGGTAAGAGTTCTGTAGAGGCTTTACAAAAATATATTTTATATATTCCCTTAAATTCCCACGTCAAGCGCCCATTATCCCTTACATTATTGTTATTATTTTTCCGTTTTTACTTCACATCCAATGATAATAATCATTCCCAATAATAAATTTTCAATTTTAAAAGTCTGCAACATCAAAAAAAAAAAAAGAAACGACAAATATTATTAACCAATTCCCAACTTCGAGACTACATCATGCGAATGACTTAATAATGAAAGCGAATCGGGCAGGCGATGAATGTTGTTGCAAAACAGTAGTCAATGTTGTTTTCAACAACTGACAATCAAAGAAAACTTAGCTGCTTCGAAAAACAAGTGGAAGTCAAAAGAAATCACAAAAGACTTAAGACACAAACACGTTGTTGAACATTCAAACTAAATCAAGTCCCAGCATCTTCTGAGGGGATAAGCTCTGGCCACCACTCTACCACTTTCAATGATTACCCAGCAACTCCGAACATAAATTCCACTAAAGATTATCACTTTTCGATAAATTTAAAGAAATATTTATGTTCAATTCATATTAATTACGGACAGCTAGGATATAAAATGTTGGAATCCAAAACGAAAGCAAAAGCAACAAACAGCCACTAGCTAGTGGACTCTGAGATGTGTTTTCTGTCGTACAGCCAAAGTTGCAATTCCATCTGCGAACACAAATAGTGGCAATGCGTATTCAGACCTAAATCTAGTCCAGTTAGACAGGCCATGTCTTTGCTACAAATCGCCTGTCTCGTGTGTACCCGGTGTGTGTATGTGTGTACGTTCCTCTGAGTAATGGCGTGTTTTGGGTTGAGACTCTGTCCGTTTAGCGGCGTGCATTTAATTAAAGTTGTTTTAGTTTATGGCTGAGCATTACATGTATTTCCTGGTAATACAAATGTATGAATTATCTCGATTTGATGTCGACTATGTTAGAATGTTGAAAAACTTGAAAACGAATGAGAGTTATTTTTGGATGGAATACCAAGAGATTAGAGGCGCTTACTGAAGGGGTTCTAGAAAGAAAGAGTGGAATGAACGTGGAATATTTTTTAAGGGACCAAACATCGAAAAATGTGGATCCTTG